TTCTATCTAGAACATATAAAGAATTTTTAAAAATCAGGTGCCCAAAATTCAAAGACCCAATACAAAAATGGGCATCCGAGATGAATACACACTTCTCAGATAAAGAAATACTAATGGCAAATAAATATATGAAAAAATGTTCAACATCATTAGTCATTTGATAAATGCAAATTAAAACAACACTGAAATTCCATCTCATCCCAGAAGGAATGATTATCATTAAGAAATCAACCAGTGACCAATGCTGGAGAGGCTGTAGGGAAAAACGAACCCTTCTCCACTGCTGGTAGGAGTGTAGATTGGTGAAAGCACTGTGGAAATCAGTTTGGAGATTCCTTACAAAACTGGAATTGGAAGTCCCACTTAACCCAGCTATTCCCCTTCTGGGTATTTTTCCAGAAGAATTAAAAACATCATACCACAGTGATATATGTACACCCATATTTATATCAGCTCAATTTGTTACAGCTAAATCTTGAAAACAACCCAAATGCCCATCAGCTGAGGAATGGGTGAAAAAAAGATGTGGTATTTTTATAAAATGGAGTATTACTCAGCTATAAAAAAAGATAAACTCAAGGCTTTTATAGGTAAATGGATGCAAACAGAGACCATACTCATAAGTGAAATAAATCAGACCCACATATATAAGCATCATATTGTCTCCCTAGTGTAAGAACATGAAAGAATAAAACCCAAAATGTACAACAGATAATATGAAAGGGAAAGAAATTGTTCAAAGGAAGAAACAACTGGGATGAGGGAAAGAAGAAAAAAAAAAGAACTAAGCTATATAGATAGATAGATAGCTGGGATAACTCTCCTGCTGATATCAGGTAGTATGTTGAAAGTAACAGTTATGCTTAATTTGTTTTTATATTTTAAACAATTTTGCATGCTTAGATCTGGTAATCTGAGAAACTGATGTGAAGATAATAATACGCAATATAACAACCAGTGGTGAATTCTTACCATCTTGTCTAGTGAAACTCTGCATTGTCTCTAATTTTTTTTAATTATTATTTTCTCATTCTCTTTAGTGGTTTGATCAATCTTCCATCCTTACATCTGGTAATCTGAGCAACTTTGTAAAAGATAACAGTATGTAATATAACAACCTGTTAATTCCTATCATTTGGTTTGAAACCCCACATGATCTTTAATGTCCTTGCTTTGTTTTGTTTGTAGTTTGCTGTTGTTCTTTTTACTATTCTCTTTAAAATAAAAAATAACAACCACAACAAAAAATCTCATATCACAAGCATCACACCCAGCTTCTTTGTGGCAAGATCTAACTCTGTCTGCAAATTTGTATCAATGTTTAAACACTCACCAGGTCATAACAACCTCATGGCCACTCAAATACTGCCATAAGATTGGAATTTTTGGTCCTTAGTGGAAATCAGATACAAACTGCACAGAACTCAAGTTTCCATGGTGACTGTGTGGGTCCATTTCATACAACTGCAAAACAGTTCTCATAGCAAGTTCACAAGCCCTTCTGTTAGTACAGATCCACTTGTAGTGATCATAGTGGACACAGAAAAAAAAAGAAAAACTAACATGCAAAAATGCAAATTAGTAGCTTAAGAAATTCTTAATTTTTTATGCTCAATATTAAATTTTCAAACACACCCAGGCTGAATGTGCAAAGGTGAAAAATGGGTTAAAGGCACTCCTGTGGCAGGCACACTTAAAAATAATTCATGTCCTTTCTGAGTGGCTAAGGTTTGATACCTCCTTCGTCAGACGGTCTTGTTACCTCACTGCAGCATGAAATGCTTGGGTAAAGCTCGGAGATTTCTGACTTGTCATCTCCCAGACCTGTACCAAAGGTACTGCCGGAATGAGATCGAGACCTCTGTCTCCTATAGAGACTCGCCTTTTCTATATGGGAGGGAAAATATTCACACATGTCATCAAGTGACTTGAGGAGTTGACAGAATTACTTAAGAGCTTATCAGGAAAAAAAAATCCTTATTAATGAATAACCCCAAATCTCATCTATTACAAGGTTCTAGGCACCTACTCCCAAACTTTAGCATGCACTTGGGAGTGACTGAAAGTTTACTTAACCCTGTTTTAAAATCTAGATTTCAAAGGAGAGACTGGGAGATAGAAAATTGGCAAAAACCATGGAAACACTGGCAAACTCATACTCTTCTAACAAACGGAGCATCTGGTTATCAAAAAATTTGTCAACACATATACAGTATATGTTGCCTTTTCTTATTTTTAGAAAATTGTATAATTTGGCTCTGTGGATCAGATTAAAGTATTAGCATCTCTGCTTTGTGCATTCAGTTTTATTAATGATTTAAAATGAAGTAAATATCAGAGGATAGAAAAAAAATTCAGTGATATTATATATCTACAGCATTTATATCATTTAAGAGAACTACATAACTATCAAAACTTTTTCAGACCTTATTTTCAAAAGAAAGTCTGAAAGTCTGAAATGGTAAACCATGTTATCACTTTGTGCAAACCATTCAGTTTTTTGCCTTTAATGACATACATGCTCAGTTAAAGGTCATATATGCAGAAGCTGTTCATTTTATAAAAACTCAAAAATAATTTTGCATATTTAAATTTATTTCATTTTAAGACATTTATGATGCTGTATAGAAAACTTTTCTACTGCTCTCTATACAGTTTTTCAGACTATCTTTAAAATATTGTTGCCAGGATGGTAGTGCATGCCTGTAATCCCAGCACTTGGGAGGCTGACACAGGAGGATTGCTGCAAGTTCAAGGCCAGCCTGGGCTACAAAGTGAGCTCAAGGCTAGCCTGAACTGCGTAGTGAGACCCTGTCTCAAAAACACAAAAAATAAAATAAAATAAAACACTGTTACATTGTATTTCATGAAACAAATCTCTTTTACGTCCCAGAAGCTTAGTGCAATCCAAATAAATACATCTGTAAACCCAGAAAGCCTATAAAATCATATTCACTAATAAAAAAGCAAATGTAAGTAAGTTCTACACATCTTTTTAAATGAATATGGGACAAACCAATCTAGGATTCATAGTAAAGTGCTTTTGTAAGTTTTGCTTTCATAAATAATTAATGGTATTTTAAAGTGGTCTAGTACTTGTCTGGTTTTTCTAATTCTCAATTTTAAAATTTACATCATATGCTTGCCACCGTGAACTTCAATATTTCACAGTAGTTCCACTTTTAGGACAAAAGGAAAGGAACCAAAATGTAAGCAATACCAGAGAGCATATGCAGACTCCTAGACTGAATATTGTCTTCCAGGGGATCAATGTCGAAGATGGAGCCGGGATCCGTGCGCCAAACTTTGAGGTCTTTCACCAAAAGGAAGTAATCAACAAATAAGATGGAGCTTTTAAAAAGTCAGTACCAAGAGGAGTCAAGAAAAAGGCAAAAATGCAATAAGCAAAGCTACCATGCTATCAAATTCAGAAGAGAACAACAGAATATTCACTTCCATGTGCACCTATTAAGAAAATTTAGTAATCAAATTCGAGTTGTCTGGTTCTTTGAGCTGCCATGCCAAGCTCTGCTGAGGGATCCACAACTCATCATACATGGCATGCACCTAATAAGTCACTATGTACAGCTCTGTGGCACCCCTAGGACACCCAGCCCTCTTGCTCTCCACCCACTGAAGCAGGCAAAGTGTTTGGTAAAAGCTCCTGATGAAGGGCACTAAGTTATTCACAGAAAATGATCAAGAAGTGGTGGTTTAAAACAAAACAAATAAAAACCTTCTCTCCCTATATCAGGAACAAAGATTGGAAGTATAGGGACATGATGAGTCTAGTTTCCTTTGTGAGTGTGTAAGCAAGTGAAGCTACAGAAGACACATTTATCAAAAAAGTGCTGACAGTGAGGCATCCAGCAAATAATGATGAGGGATGGAATGAAGACTAAAAGCTGCCTCCTGTTCTTAATGGGCTACAGATTAGTTCATTGTTGTAGTCAATGATCAGACCACTACTGGCATCTGGATCTGAAGTGTCTCCAAAATGCTCCTGGGTAAAGGCTTGGTGGCCAGCCTGTGGAGCTACCATGTGGTAGTGCAATCTGTAGGAAGTATAGCCTAGGAGAAGGAAATTACGTCACTGGAGATGTGCCCTTGAGGTGCTTCGGGGACCCCAGCCCTTACCTTGCCTTCTCTTTTGCTTCCTAACTGCCATGAAGCAAACAGTCTTCCTCTATCACATGATAGCCTATGCTGCCACAGGCCCAAAGCAGCTGGGTCAATTAACCATGGACTGAAACCTCTGAAACCTTAAATCAAAACAACTCACTTCTCCTTTTAAGTGATTTTCTCAGGTATTTTGTCAAAGCAACAGAAAGCTGACTGCATAGACTACGTAAGCCAATGTATCTTCCTATTTTAGCTGGAGACAGAAATCCAAATCTGATAATTTCTCAGTTCATCAGTCACCCCACCTAGTGGGTATCAGGATCTACAATGAGCAGCATAGTTCTGTACAACTGGAAAATAAGAACCTCATTATGGACAAATAGCAGAAATAAGACAAGAGGGAAAATAATTAATTAGTAAACTAAAACTGGAGATTTGCTTGTCAGTTTTTAATTAATATTTTGCAGTGTTTATTATATGTCAGTTACAGTCTAATTCATTTACACTTCATACATATCAAAGTAGGTACTACTATTTTCCCTGTTTTATGGATGTGGAAACTGAGGCATAGTGAGATTCAACAACTAAGCCAAACTTACACAAAGTTACCTGACTAGTAAGTAGCCTCACCTCCAATAAAAACAAAAGTGGCACAATGTGACTTAGCCTGCATTACTTAGAAAATCTCTAAGTTTACATTTCCATACCTGATACTAAAGCTGGTTCATTAGAAAGTTTAATGTTCGCTTAATGTGTTTCATTTTGTACCTTCATGGGCAAGCCTCCAAAGGAAACTGATTATGCTTTGAAGAATAGTAATCTCAAAGATGATAGGTATTGAATCTAAGAGCTCAACATCTAGAGAGTTCTGTGGTTTTCAGCAATGGTCTCACCACCATGGCTGATCTCTGAGCCTTGTCCCTGGGTAAGTTCTCACCCTGACGAGATGAAGCAGAACTTCACACTCTCCTGTGACCTCTTAGCTCCCAGCAATGAAACTCTCTACTTCTGAGGGCTTTTTAGAAAAACAGCACAATTCATCCATGCAACTGAATGTGATCCTTTTAAGTAATCAACTTGGGAGAAGATGAGCAAAGCCATCAATCGCCTACAAGTATGTTTGGATTCTTTCTCTGTAAACTACATTCAGAGTCACTTTGGTAATCATCCAAGTCACTTAGTACTCTGACATTAGTATTCTTGTTTTATACTGATATTACCCTGTCAAATATATGCTTCCCCACCCAGCTCACCTCTAAATGGCCTTTCACTGGTACTATTCCAAAACATAAGCTCTTACTCTTGAAGATGAAGGAAATCTAACACTGACTTTAGTGAGAGCTATATACCACAGTTACCAAAATATTTTTTGAGCTACACAGTTGGAGTAGATATAAACACTTAAGGACTAATTACTCTGAAGGAGGCAATAGTCAAGCATTACTGGTGTTACTGAGAAACCACTAATTTTCCTTCCTGGTCCTATTGCATATTTCAGTATGATCTTTGCTGATATCTCGGCCACAGTCAGCAGCGTCCTCCCAGGTAAGGAATGGAGAGCAGCAAGAAGGAAAAGCTGCTCTTCAAAATGTAAGACCTTCAGATGGTTCTCAATTTTCCAGCTCAGAAACAATATTTAAAAAACATATGTGGTTCCTTTTATGGAATACCATCAGAATCTCTCTGGCATGTCTGCTTGTGGTAAAAAGGTCCTAAATGTGACATTTCTGTCAGTCACCCAGGCACATGATGTCTATGGTACAACACCTTAACTAAGAAACTAAAGAAAAACAAAATAATTGTTCCATTCTTGTGATCATCTAGATCTGGGCTGTCTTTAACAAGTCAAAATATGCTTAAGACTAGGAAGGTATTAAGCACAGAACTTCCAAGAATAGAATGCTCTGCATGATACCTGGTGAATGCCATGAATGTCATTCAACGTGGTACCAAAATAACGCTTTATCTGGCATTCATCTGGAATTTAGCACCACACAAAATATCTGATGAGGGGTCAGGTGAAGTAGAGTAAAAGCAAGCACAATCCTGCTGGCCATGTCTGCCTGCAGAGAAGGTTCACCATTGATGGACCGCCTGCTTACCAACAATGATTCCGGGTCTCCTGTCCATCTCCACCACATGAGGCTGGACCCCTTTGTAGGCAGCATCGCTGACAACCTGGGTGTTCTTCCTCACACGCTCTGTCACAGGGTCATCCACAACAGGAGTAAAGCCCCTCCCCTTCGTCTTCTCAAAATCTTCATGATATTTTACCTGAAAAAGAAAAACACTGCATGAACTCAAATTGAAATTTCCCAGTTGTTACTTGTCCCACACAATTTTGATAAAATGACAGGTGCATCTTGCATACACATATCTTTTCCAGTTCTACCAAAACAATCTGTTAGATCAAGTGTTGACATTTTCACCATGTTTGTAATCATTATGGTATTGCTTCTCAAATTGTATATAAATTTGTATATTAGTGAGACGTTGTAAAAGAAAAACAGCTGAAAATCTTGGTTACTTCCTAGAATATGCTAATTTAACTCCAAATTAGCTTCTTATCTATGAACATTCAGTATGTAAAAGTAACAAGCATTTATCCATAATTATTCAAAGCAACTTACTTAAAATTAGACTGAGAGGTATAGGTAAAGATATGTACAATTTTAGTATATAACTACAAAAAAAACCTAGATATTATATAACAGATTTTCTCATGTTTTAAAACTGGATCAGAGCAATAGTTTTGCATTCTGTAAATTATACTATTCATTTGTATTGAATTAAATACTTTAAATGGTAATGTTTATGATAGGTAATTTAGACCTCATGAAAGTTTTAAAATGCATTTTTCATATTTTTACAACATGCGAATATACCAAATTCCATCTAAATTAATTAATTGGAAAGAACTCTGGTCAAATGTCTTCATAAAATGCATTTATAATAATCACATTAGAAATAAAAACACACCAAAAAGTCACAGAGAGAAATTATTTTATTAGACTAAATAATTTCATTACATTTCAGTGTGATTAGAAAGCATCCCCCCCCAAACAAAACAAACAAAACAAAAGGCTTATCCAACTTTTCATGCTTTGTTAGTTGTCCAGATTAATAGTGAACTAAAGCCATCAACACACTGGGTCTTGCAGTTCCTTAGTATGCTTAAATCATGGAAAGAACTATGGGGTTGTACCCTACCATTGAAATATGATTTTGTGCTTCTTTAACATGTCTCAGACTAGGTGTATCTAGAATCAGACTTGGTCTACCTTTCATCTGTTTATGGTCCTGAGTATATTTTACCTGCAAAATAAAAAGCAGACCTAATTATAACAGAATAAGTATAATTTTAAAATTATATGACTTTTTAAAGTTTTCCAAATAAATGAAATTCATACAATATTATATAACACTTATACAATATTTTCCAGGTAACTTTTCAGTGAATTACATTCTGTTCTAGAACACCAACCTAAAACTGGACTCTCAAAGATCTCCCTTAAAGGCTATGGTGAACATGTTTTAATCTTCTTTATCAACTGAAAACAAATGTGTGTAGCCAACAATCACTAGCAATGTAGTCAGAAAAACTGGATCTCATATTTAAATTAACAAGGAAATGTCCAAAACTAAATAGAATCCAACTTCATTTTCTGTTTCTAAATTTCCCTATTTTCTGCTATAACAATATTGGAAGGTGCATACCAAGTTTCCCTCTATTTTTCTTTATTTTTCCCACCTTAGAGAATGAGAAACAATGATGAATAAATCTAGTTTTCCTTCTAAGCAACCACAACATGGACATACTTTATGTTGACTACACCCAGAATCTTCAGACAGAAATGCCACCAGAAAGCTGGAAATTATGCACCTAAACACTGGTCCCCAGGTGTGCCAGAAATAGAGCCTGGCCTTTCGACACCAACCATTGGAACTGCCTTTCATGAAGCTAATTATGTGTAACATGGGAACAACATTTATTGCAGATCTAAAATGCATACGCACAATTAAGAACAGAAGTCCCAGCTTCACTGAGAGAAAGCATACTAGCTAAAGAAGACCCTGAAGAAGACCCGGATGTGCGCCATGAGAAACTTTCATGAGGAACTCAGTTCTATATTATGTATTATTTTGTCCCCTCTAAATCCTTATGCTGGAGTAATGACTCATTTTCTACTTTGTTTTGCAAAGAGAGTCTTACACACGCCATGTTCACTGAAACACAGGAGTAAAATGACAATTACTAAACTTACGTACCAAAAAGACCATCATTTTTGAAGATACTGGCTAAAGTAACACAAGTCATTGCTTAAATAAACTTTAACTATGTCAGGCACCTCTGGAAATACCTCTGAAGGGCTGCAGAATAATGTAAATTTATATAGTTCAGGAGGTCATCTGAAGTAACACAAGTACTTAACTGGGAATATCACAAGTTTATTCTCATAAAGAAAAAAGAAGACTGTGGGTGAATTATAAAGGGCACACCCTTTGTGATTGTCCAAAATAAATAAAACCACTTGCCGAGCTAATGTTTTCTTGATTCTTCTTCACTCTTTCCATTTCAGGAGTTACACTTAAAGGTGTAGCTCTTCCCAGCTGACCTTTATAATGAACCTATCATCACAGAAAACAAAAGGTAGAGAACTATGCATTAATTCAACTAAGTAAGAGTCTCACCGCGTTTATTTTTCAAGAGTTACCCAAAGAAGGGAAACTGTTTTAAAAAGAGGATACTCTTGGAGGTCAGATCATATTTAAAATGTTTATATCTTAAAGCATCTACTTCATTTCACCCTAGAACAGTGTCTTTGTCTGAATCTCAGTGGATGTTTTCAAATACACGGGTGTACTGTCAGTAAACCTGTACAAAGCCTTTGTTACAAAGGAGTACGGAAAGAAACACCTTCACAGATATTACTCACAGGCCCTCTTGTCCATATAGCAGGAAACTGCACAGCTGTGGTTTCGTAGGAATTAGCTGTGACAGAACTTTTTTTAAATGTATTTAAAATGATGACCATGGTCATCCACAAAATGGCCAGCATGCTTCCCACCACTCCTTCCTTCTCAATAAACATGTCCATTTCTGAGAGTAACAGTCTGAGCATGACCTTAGATCCACTGGGAAAAGACAAACATCTACTCCTCCAAAATATAATTGTTGGAAAAAGTCACAAACAATGACCTGTGCATACTTCATAAACTGGTCAAATGACTTGAAGGGTTTGAAGAATACGTGATTCCTTTGAAATGAACAGATTTCCAAATTTCCTCTCCCAAAGAACCCAATACCCATGTTAATGACCTCCAAAAAGGAGTAGCAGGGAGCTGCACCAGGAGATTATGTAAACAAAAGGGAATTAGAGCAGGCACTGGTCAGTGTCTAAGGAGGAACTGAGAACCTTGATCCAGTACCCCGAGATTGGCTCTGCTTCTTCATATGAGCTATTCATCCACATCTACTTTATCAGCTCTCCCAGACATTGCCCGGAAATACAGTGATCATCACTGAGGGTGGGAGGAAAGGCTGGGAGATGCCGGGGAACAAGAGCACAGGCACTTTCCTACTCTGGAAGGGGGAGTAGGAAAACTTGGCTGGAGGGTCCCAGTGCCAGAAGCTTCCCATTGGGGCACCAAGCAGTTATCAGCATAAAGACGAGGAAGACAGACAACAACAATCTCCGAGGTGTGGTGCTGGGAACCTGGCAATTCCCGAAACCCCAAAATCTTCCAAATCCATCATTAGTCAAATGAGGTCAAAAATATGGACTCAAATTGGGAAAATATTGTCAAACAATCCCTGCCTCTACATATTGACTCTACATTTGCTAGCATCAGAAAAAGTTACTAAGATGATCACACATTGCTGATATTCTTCTGGTTTGCTTTCACTCTCTGCAGCTCTGGGGGGTCAGAAATGGGAGTTGCCTGTTTAATCTCTTCTTTGTATTTGACCTATGGGGAATAAAAAGAATTTTAATAGCAGAGCAGACTCAGTAAAAAAAAAAACACTGCAAAGAGTTAGTCTCAAAGTTCCTCCCATCCTTTTGCACACATTTTATCACAATACCCCTACATCAACCTTCCTGCTGGTATCAACACCTAGATTTCAATTATTCTGATTTAACAAATGCTAACTGTTGATTGTTCTGTTTAAAAAAGTCTTCAGCAAACACTAAGTTGTTCAGTGTTCAAACTAATTGCAAATTACACAAATAACAACAGAAATCTAAGGGAGTATGCTGCAAATAAATAGCAGAACCAAATCAAGAGGATAAAACCAGAATGAAATCCATATGGAAGCCCAGGAGGGGCTTTTTCTACCCTCTGACCCTGGGGCTTCACCTTCTAAAGATCTCTGACAGGGACATTAGCCGGATAAGCAATGTGGAGCTGAATTTTCTCCTCCACCTGGAAGAATTTGCTCTTCAGCTTTAAATCTTTCAAAATTAACTGTTTTGGAAGAAAAGGGCCCTTTTTTTGGAGAAACCTCCATAAAAGGATCACAAAATGAAAAAAATAACTATCTTGGAACAGCATGAAAGAATTTCAGGATTCCAGAAAGGCTGGGTTCAAATCACAACTCCACCCCTACAAGCTGTGGATCCCTGGCAGGTGTTCCAACTCAGTTTCCCAAATCAACCCAGCAGAGATGAATAGAACTGAGATTGTGGGTTCACATAAAACACAAGCACAGGGCCCATCCCCTCACAGAGGTGCACATAATTGTTAACTAGCACTGCTTTTTTTTAAGCAATAGATCATTGAAGGATTAATGTTTTCCATTTCATTTACAAGGTTCTTTTTCCAGATGCTGTGTGTCTTCAAATGCTAATCAAGCCAGGCCTTCTCTTGCCCTGTTCCAACAGAGTTCTTGCTGCTTCAACGGGTAAGAGAGTCCTCTCTCCAGGTCCTTATCCAAACGTACTTCTAGAAGTTTACCAATAAACTATGAGGTTCATGAGGATAAGATGTGTCTTATCTACTTTTTGTCCCGATGATCTAGACAATACCTGACACATGTGGGTGATGATGGAAGAACTTTTGAATAAAGACACATGGCTAAGTTACACTGACCCCTGTGACAGACTTCCTGTGCTGGTGTGATAGTCACAGGTCTTGCCCTTCAGTGAATGAACGCGTAAAGGAGGATACAGCTACCTGGAGGGTTTAAAGCTTAGCAAAGGGCATTTTGTTTAAATATAAAAATACACAATTTTAGATAAAATGTAAAAGAAAACAGAAACTACTTGCCGCACTCAGCTGCTCTTGGTTCCTCCTCACTCTCTCTATCTCTGGGGTCATGCTCACCGGTGTGGACTTATAATTTTGTTCTTTATATTGGAGCTGGGGGACAAGGTGAGAGACAGGTTGGAGTTAGTGGAAGTAAACATTACCAATACACGGGATCAGATGGGAAGAAATGTCACATGGCCACAAAGCATTCATCAGTGAAATCTCCGTTAGGATTTAACAGTGGAATATGGATGGCTGATAGATTTCATCTTCTCAGTGACGCCAATGACTGGGCTGGTTCTTGTCAAATGTTTAACTTATACCTTCCATGGTTACTCTTCAAACTGTATTATTTATTGGTGGCCTCACTGAATCTGAGCTTACCAATCACGAGGAATTATCCCCTCTGTGAATTTCCTTCTTAGAATTAAAGCACTTTGTCAAATTATCACTGTATACATAAAATAATTTTCCATTGTTATCATTGGAGAGGAGGGTTACACAAATCCTCTGCCTCCACTTCAGCAGTACTTTATTACTGTTAAAGAAACCACGAACCTCAGTGGTTCCCCTCTCTGCTAAGTTCCAGCCCTGGAGTGCCTGCCCTCTGACCCAGTGCTAGGGACATTCCCCAGCCTACGCACAGGGCCTCCTTTCTAGCCAGGGAGAATCACACTCCATTGTCTGTAATTGGTTTTCCCAACCAGTGAGCCAGTGATTCCACCACACCCGGAAGATAAATGAGCATCAGAGCTGGAGAAAGAGAGTGGCAAGTGGCCAAGTCTGTCAAATCAACTTTGACCACGAAAGTAGAGCTAGAGGATAAAACCCCACTGCAAGGAATGCCACAGGGGGAACACGATGGTTTTTTAGAGTTTAAATGTGGTGTTAAAGACTTGCAAATAACAGGGACTTGAAATGCATGTCCTCAGGAGTGAACACGCATGTGAAGAGAGGCCTGGAAAATGGACAAGAGTTGGGCTTCTTTCTGTGTATGCTCTATCCTCAAGGAGCGCCCTTCTCTATGCAGTGGTATGTGAAATTTGAGAGACCAGGTAGATTGTTTGGAGATTTATTTATTCATTTATGGTGGTACTTGGAATTAAACCCAGAGTCTTCACGCTGAGTGCGAAGCTCCCTTTTTTTATTTTTAATTTATTTTAAGACAGGGTCTCACTAAGTCACTAAATTGCCCAGGCTGGGCTCATACTTGCAATCCCCCTGCCTCAGCCTCCCAGAGTTGTAGAATTATAGGCAAAATCCACCATGCCCAATTTAGGGAGATTCTTGTAAAGCTCTATTCAGACCCGACTCTCTCAGTATCCAACCGTTTGCTAGCAGAGGCATTGTTCTCAGCTTAGCACCAGTGCCCTAGGCAAACACAGGATGTCTTAAAAGAGATAAGATGGAGCCAAAACACCCAGATATCTGCAGACACCCAAACATTCACCTGGATACCTGAAGGACTTTGCCCACTGAGGCATAAAACATCCAGGGAACTTTGGCCCCTGAGCTTTCCTAAGATCTTTCCGCCTAACATCCCTTGCCTTTTTTTAAGCCCTATTAAAAAAAAAAAAAAATCTCCTTCTCTTTACTCCCTACAGATGACCTTTTGCCCTCTGCCTGCACCCAGGCATAATAAATTCCACACCATGTTGCCTTTAGACAAGCCCAGCAGTCTCAGCTGGTCTCTGCCTCACGTCATTCCTTATACTTGGGACCAAGACGGCTGAGTTAAAGTGAAGGAAGTTTCAGTTTAACCTCTATTCATAGCAAGAAAGAGGAAAGATTTCTGTTATGGCTTGTGTCTAGATGTCCTCCCAAAGCCTCACGCAGTCAAAAGGCTTTTTAGAGGGGGCTGAATCTAGAGTGTGTGACGCTGGGATTAAGCGTATGATTACTACCTCAGCGCACCGATTGATTTGGCAGTGCTCTAATCCCAGAAGTCTGGGTAAAATAAAAGGGGCAGAAAGATGCTGTTAAATTCTCTTGTTGCTTTTGCTGTCTTCTGCCACCATGAATGGCTGTCCCTCTGCCATATGCCACCTTGCCTTGGAGCCAGCCAGTGATGGACTAAAACCTCCACAAACCGTGAGCTAAATAAACCTTTCCTCCCTTCACTTTGAGGGTTGAGTGTTTTGTCTCAACAATGAGAAAATAGCTAAGACAATTTCTCTAGTTAGAGCTTGGAAGGAGAAATCTGTGGTAAAGAAATTCTTATAACCAGTTTTTAGTAGATACAAACCTGGCGCCATCAATTTGAAAGACAGAATCTTCCTATCGTACACTCCTCCATTCACAGACCCCCATGTGCCTACAGGAAATGTCCCTTTCCCGTTCTAATCCCTGTTTTACAGATGAGGAAGAGAGGTTGGTGGCTTAGGAAGATTAAACAACAAGTAAGGCCTGGAGACCAAAGTAACCAACAACTGAGAGTGAAGACTACTTCCCACCACTCCAGTGTCATCCAAATTTCCCAAGTTTCTGCCATTGGCACACTGATTTCCATATGCCACACCAGATGTGCTGTTAGCTAGCATTACTTTTCGTTAAATGAACTATTATTTTCAGATACAGTTATTTTACACGAGTATAAATTTCTACCTTCATTGAAGCCTAGCAACCCTTCTTGCAGAAGATACACATTAAAACAATGCAGTCACTAACTCAAGGACTGAGCACTGGCAAGGCCATATCTTCCTGAACATCCTAGTGGTGGCCCCAAGGGACTCCATACTACATCTTTCTGATCTGTGTCACATCTCCCTCCACTGTCATCTCCTGCCACCCCTCTCCCGATATACTCATCACATAAATCTCCTTCTGAGCAGCCCTTGGGTCCTGCACATACTCAGTCTGTTCTGCCAGGAAGGTCCTTCCTCACAAAATCCACCCCAAGCCATTATGAATCCCTCAAGATCTAATGCCCATGCTACTCGTTCTCCAGTTCTCTTCCCCATCCCCCAACACAGCCATCCTCTGTCTTTAACCCACAGAATTTTACACCAGGTATTAGTACTTGTGACTAAATAAACACTTGTAACAAGATACAAGACTTGAAAACTACTTCAAAAAGGACTGTCTTCAAAAAGCACAGGAAACACTAACTATTGGGATGGCCCCTAACGCGTAATCATTCCATGTGTATTTCTCCTGGAGACCTTGAGAATACTCACAGGCTTGAACCCTACATTTTTTAATTCCTTCACAAACAAAAATAGAGTAGACATTCAACAACAAATGCCCATGACACACTGGCTAGGGGTAATGGAGAACGTAAACAAAGATGGGTGATCCAGCTCCATGTTTAAGGACAACCTTTACAGTGGTCTTCATTGTAATGGGATTTTACCTAGGCAGGTGTCATGCCCTCTTTATGTATTGGTATTCAATAAAATAGAAAAAAAAATACTTAAGGAAAAATGATCACATTGCTGATATTCCTCTGGTTTTCTCTAAATTCTCTTTCACTCTGGAGGATCAGAAATGCGTGTTTAATCTCCTTTGTATTTCACCTGAATAATTTATAAAAATATGTTAACTGTAGTCTATTCACATCTTTAAATGTTAAGAATTTCTTTATTAGTGACTATTGAATAACGCCACTTTTTAAATGCTAACATTGCTTTTCCTTCCATGGGAACACAATTTTTTTATTTTATCTGATGCTTTCAGGATTTCTTTATCCTGAAGTGCAAATAAATTCGTATCTATTCACCTATCCATGACTAGAAGAGTCCTTTAATTAAAATAAGAAAATGTTGCTTATTATGGGCATAGATTTTGTCATTAGGCAAATGCATAAAAAGCCTTGGAAATTATCTTAAATAATGTAACTGGCTTGTTTCCTATCTGAAAAGCAGTTTCTATTAATATGTTAATTAGAATTCACCCTGTGTATAAAGGCAAAAGTCAAACTGAAATAGCCACAGAGTCTTGGGAATGCTGTTTGTCTAAGAGCACACCAATAACCTATAATAAGGAAAAAAAGTGTAGCGACCACACATAAAAGAAGAGAAAAATGGAGTTGCGGAAATGGACTGAAAGCACAGTTATTATTTCAAGACCACTGCAAGAAAGGGGCACACCAGAGAGTTAGGAAGGGTCCTCTACCCGCACAGCCGCCACACAGAGCCCTCCTGTGTCAGGCATCTACTTCATCCCAACCTCCCTTCAAATCTGTTTAGAGGAAGATCAACCAGAAGAGCAATGGTGCCACCACACAGGGACACATAGGACGGGACAAGAAGCAGCTCTTTGGCCTTTCCACGTAATTAACGAGGTCATCATTTCAGGTTGTGTGGTCACACATCTATAACTCAGAGAGGATCCGCTCGGAGAAGAAAAGCACACATACTAGACTTAAGTGGCACATGCTAAAATTTAGCAAATTTTAGCATAAGACTTAAATCTGTATGAAATGTGTTTTAGAAATCAAATCTCAGATATCTCAGATACGTCCCAGGACCTGAGAGTTTAATGTAAGTAACAGTGCCAGTACTGTACTAGTCCACATCTAGAGCAGTTAAATTGAAAATGAGACAGGGTAGCTCTAAATAAAACTCCAAATCAACTCTCAGCAGAGAGAGCTAATAGCAAAAAGGCTTGTTCCCAGACATGGAAAATGTCGAGATGTTTAAATGTTAGCGAATTGCTTGTTGGTTTGACAGATCTGCCTAATCTTCAAAAGGGCAACTTTCCATTTGAATACTAAGCAGGCATTTATGGCTCACCCTCAGAGATACAGAACTGTACGTTTATTGTTTGCTAGAAAAGGCTGTAGGACCCTGGGAGAAGAAATGATATACTGTGCTGCTTTGTGTGATTTTCCTCGGGTGGGAAGCTCAACATGATTAAAGATGAACATTTGAGTTTTTCAGAAAACGCTGAACTAATCAAGATGGTCAAGTTTGGGGTTGGGGATAAAGCTCAGTGGCACAGCGCCTGCCTGGAAAACACAAGGTCATGAGTTTGATTCCCAGTACCAAAAAAAGTCAAGTTACTTCACTGTAGGCTATAGAACTGCACACTGCACAACACTGACAGGTATGTTTCAAATATTATCACTCAGAAGTGAAGGAAACAAACAGAATTCTTATAATTTCATTTCACTATAGCATCACCTTGCCCCACCTGCACTTTCTCCATAAATGCAGGCACACACTCATTTTCCCAAGATGCCACTTAACAATCAGGGTTGCCCTCACATGAGCAGCACTTGGGCAGTTCTATTTGCATCACCTGAAGGAAAGTTCTGGAAAGTACTGTCTCCGTGGGTGGTGATGACAAGATAAGTCAACAAGAGATGATTCTAAACACATATGGAAGAACAGATGTTCCTAAGGAGAACAGCGTCAAGCTTTAAATCGAAGGATTTTTTATTTATAACATTAACGCCCCTCTCCTACCCTTCTTTCAGTTCAAAAGTAACTAGAGGGTAAGTTATTTTACAACTTCTAGTAAAAACATGCATTTTTCATCAGTGAAAGAAGTAGGCAATAAATGGGGATGGAAAACAGAAATATAAGTAGGACTATGTCTAAGAAAAAACTCAGAAATATAACTGACATAGGATAAAAATGAATGGGTACTATGTATTTTTTTTAATCTATAACTTTCCCTTTAAGCCACCAAACAAATGTTCTGGGGGCTTTGATCATTCTGTCAGGGTAAAGTTTTCTCCAAGCTGTGGAGAGGCACTAAATGTATCCTTTTTCTGGAAAACTTAATACAGTTAAAATTCTGTTCAAAAGATGAAATGTAACCCTAGATTTCATTCAAATGACCTACGTCTTCTTTACTCTGATATATCAAAATGAAATGTTGCTTCAGGTTCATAAGGAACAAGGCTATAGTTTTCTCTCTGAAAGTTGGATCTTTGATATTTGATGACATCACATTTCAGTAAACTGAAGAATAAAAGAAAAAGGTAGCCTGTTGAGTAAAGAGCTAGGAACATTTCCCGAGCTTCTGTTTGCTTTGGGAAAGGATAATTAGTGCGAGGGAGAACTTACTGAACTAATATTTTGCTGATTTTTCTTCACTCGTTCCATCTCTGGAGTCTCTTTTACTGCTGTGCCAGCTTCTACTTCCTTCTTATAAAATACCTTTATTATAAGAGAAGGAAAAGAACTATAAGCTTATTAGAATTCAAGTCCTGGATCTGACAGTTATAAGAGGCCATTTCTCAGGCTTTATAGTAATGTGAATACTGCTTCTATTTATGACTCCCAACATTACGTGCATCAGTGAAACAGTTCATTATGATAATAAATGTCTAACTTTGGTTTCATATCCCCAACACATACAAGTAACCCTCTAATACCTGCTCTAAATCTTGTTCAGCACCTTACTAGACTGTAGATTATTTGCTTTTGAATGTTGCCAAACTAGAGTTTCATTCTTTAAATATAGATCTATGCCACATGTGTGTTAGAGAAAAATTAAAACACATACTACAAAAGTTCACTAAGAAATTAGCATTTAATTTGAAAATAGTTTGAAATTTTCAGCAACAGCTATTCTAAAAGCAAAGATGCCTTCTTCTCTCCCAAGCAAACATTAGCTTTATTGTCAGTATCAGCATTGATTCAAAATTTATTTTCTTCATCCTTCGCTTATGCATTCACTCCTCTTAACCCCCATCTCTCCATCCCTGTCAACATCTTCTATGCCTTCCAAACACAAAACAAAACAAAAGTCAAAAGCACACTACAGGGAAAAAAGAGTAATTCAGAAAAAAGTGTGTGAGGACAGAATTACTCCACCGTGGGACACTTGGTCATCCAGTGGGCCCCAGTAGGGGTGGCAGAAAAATGCTTTCCTCAGCAGGCGAAAATCTGGAATACCACAGAATCACAGGTGTCAAGAGCTAAAGCAGCGTCTTTCTCTTATCCTTTCAGAGAGAATTTTCCATCTCTCAGTATAGCCTGGCCCTCTGCATGGAGGCCCAAGAGCTGCCTGATCAGCACACCTGCGAGCCAGAGTTTGCCCGTTAATTAGAAAGGAGAAAATACTCCCGAAGCCTTCAACCTTAATAGAATTTACATTTTTAATTAGACACTTGCTTCACTATAGATGACTGGGCCAATTCTATATTATGATATTGACTCATGATCAATTTTTATAATTTTAAAACAGAATTCAAGTCTATGCATCCATTACAAAAAGCCCAATCTCTTCATTAATTATGCAAATGCAATTCCAACTCCTCATAATAAAAAATATGAAAGGTTAGGACTTAGCTAAGAATGTGTAAATCTGTAGACATGATATCCACATAAATATATGTGGATATAACAAACCATCCAAAACAAACAAACCATCCAAAATATACTGGTAACAAAACAAACCATCCAAAATATACTGGTCACAAGCATGTCCTGTAAGGGATACTCTGTACTGGCTACTCACCATGCTAATGTTTTGTTGTGTCATCTTAATCCTCTGAATTTCAGGAGTATCTGCCACAGTGGAATAGTTAGAAAGCATTTTCTCTGCTTCATCTTTATACTTTTTCTAAAAATATGAACAGCTAATATGAATTGGGGAGGCGAGTATGAGAGAGACAGAAAAACAGAGAACGATACCACTCCTTCCATCTCTACCACACACACAGCTTTAAGTTGCACCTTCTAAGTCATACGTGTTCATACAACAGCAAAAACAAAGGTAGCAAGCAGACAGTCCAGCCCGGCGGCCTTGCCTCTACTCAGACTATGGCGGCCACCTCAGTCCACTCGGACACTCAGAGGGGTGACTTCTATGTCCTTCCTAACTGTAGGACCTACTGTGATGGGAGCAGTTCAAGTCCCTGTTCAAATGGCCCAGCAATACCTGTGAAGTAACCTGACCCTGTATCTACATTTTTATGTTTTTGGATTTATGCTTTGCTTCCTAAATTAGGTAAAAATATGTTTAGTTGGGGCTGGGGATTTAGCTCAGTGGCAAAGCGCCTGCCTGGCAAG